AAGAGGCGCCCTGCCATTGCGGGGAGCTGGGTCTGCTCCTCCAGAGGGGGAACCCCCTGGATGCATCCGGAGCCTTGGGTCACCGGAAACCGCCACTGGAGGGCCGGCAGGGCCACCGGAATTGGCCGCACCTCCCCTGCTCCTAGGCCCCCCACCCCCAGCCCTCCCTGTGGATGCTGACATCGGGCCGGTTGGAACCCCTTTAAACTTTTGGGGTGGCTCAGAGATGAATGGATGGAACTGTGTCCCGAAGGAGCCCTGGACATCCCCTCTCGGGAATCCCCTCCGGCAGGGCGTGGCCTGGATAGCCATTCCGGTTGGTTTGGGCGTGGGGGGGGCGAGGAGGTCCCATTTCTCAGATGCACAAAACTGAGCTGGGTTCAAGAGTTGAGCATGTGCGCGCTTGGTAGGGGGCCCCATGCCAGGCTCAGGGGATCCCCAGAGACAGCTCCTAGTGCAGGGCTTGTTGGCCAAAGCCACCATGGGGGCCTCTAGCTTCCGAGGCTGGAGTCCGTCCCAGGTACCCAGGTCACGGCCTGCCGGGGGTGGCCGTGCATGGCGGGGGCGGCCATGCGTGGCAGGGGGTGGCCTGCTCCCCCCTCTGGCACTAACTGGGCCACCAGACTTTGTCCTCATTCTCGCTCTTGGAATAAACTGCCTGCTCTCTGGCCAGCTCTTTGGGGAGGGCAAGGGTGGGGGCTCCAGCAGTTTGGGGGTCCCTAGGGCTCCCTGAAAGTGGGGTCAGGGAGCACCTAGGGTGTTGTTGGAGGCTGGCATGTTCTTTAGAAGCCCTGTGCTGTGTGACCTAGCGGAGTCACTATCCCTTTCTGAGCTTCAGGTCCCATTCAGCAGAGTCCCTGTGGGGCCCAGTCTACCCCTTCAGAGAGACCTCAGCCCCAAGCCCTTACCATCCAGGAACCCCCAGTCTGAAGAAGACAGTGAGACACCCCAAGCCTGTGAGGTCTGGGGTCCCAGGGAGAAAGCAAGGGGCTCTGGCTCCATGGAAGTCAGGGAGGGCTTCCTGGAGGAAGGGCACAGGTGGGCCTGGACACATACAGGCAGGAGAGGGCAAAGGGCCCTTCTGAATGTAATGCAGGGAAATACTTAGTGGCAGATTGTGGGGAATCTATGTTAGGGGACTGCCCAGGCTTGGGGGACGTTAGAGCAAAGTGGGCCTGAAATGTTAGGGATGGGGGCGGGCACTGGGGAGCCATGGAGGGTGTGTGGGAGGGTTATGATCCTGCTGGACTGTGGGGCGGAAGCTCAATGAGAAGCCCAGATCAGGTGGTGGGGGTGGGGAGTCAAAGCATGTTTTGTTTTGTTTTGTTTTGTTTTTTGAGAGGTTTTTGCTATAGGGTGCGCGTGCGCCCCAGACAGACAAAGAGAGAGAGAGAGACAGAAAGCGAGAAATCACCCCTTGGCGGGGGGGATGGCCATGCCACAATCCCTTCTCCTCCATTCTCCTCTCGGGATCTTGGGCACGCACGCACACGCGCCCGGTGTGAGTTTAAGCCACCGGGTCTGGGACTCGAACTGCGGTCAACTACGTGGGAGTCCAGCAACGTAACCACGATGCATCTGCTGTTTCCCGTAGCATGTATTCTTTAAGTGGAATAACAGGAAGAACTCACTGTTGTCTGTCTGGGGGAGAGATGGGTCCCAACTTCACAGCCAGGGAAACTGAAGCAAGAGATCCAGGTCTCCCCTGAGGTTGAGGACCCCGAGCTGGGCCCCTGCCTGCTTCCCCAAGGCCAGCTGTTTCCACCCGGCTGCCCACGACCCTCCCTCCACCCGGCTGCTGGGCTTTGTCCTGACGAGACCTCATCCCAGGGGCTGGCATCGCAAGACTTAGGTGAGGGGGGCAGTCCCCAGGCTTCAGCTTTCATAATCCTGGGTTCCCCTGACACCACCTCCTGGCCCTCCATGCCCAGCCCGTCTCAAATGGGGCAACGTCGGGTGGTCCATTTCCAGATGAGAAAACTGAGGTTTAGCAGAGAAGTCCCTGCCCAGGGATGGAGTATCTGCAGCTGAGAGATTCAAGATGTTTCCTTGAACTGTTTGAGTGGGTTTTTTCAGTTTTTTTTGCCTTAGGGGGCTTGCACTCTCCAGAGACAGAGACAGTGAGAGAGAAAGTGCGAAATCACGCTCCCCCCCAGGGGGAGGGGATGGCCATGCCATAGTCCCTTCTCCTCCATTCTCCTCCTGGGATCTTGGACACGCACGCACATGCTCCCGGCATGACTTTCAATCCACCGGGTCTAGGACTCAAACCGTGGTCGGGCAAGTGGGGAGTTTAACCGCATAACCACTGTGCCATCTGCTGGCCCCGAGTGTGTGTTTTACTCTGTGACCATCTTTGGGCGTCCCTCAGGGACTCAGCTGGGATCCCCCGGAGTCTGTCCCGGGCCTTGGAAAACCCTCATCCCCACAGGGCGCGTGCGCTCGCCAGCCAGAAAGACAGAGAGAGACAGAGAGACAGAAAGCGAGAAATCACCCCCCAGGGGGGATGGCCACGCCGCAATCCCTTCTCCTCCATTCTCCTCTCGGGATCTTGGGCACGCACGCACACGCGCCCGGCGTGAGTTTAAGCCACTGGGTCCGGGACGCGAACCGTGGTCAACTACGTGGGAGTCCAGCGACATAGCCATTACGCCATCTGTTGGTCCTGGTTCTGGGGGTCTTTGAAGAACCAGGGTTTGAAGCTTCCTGCTAGAGGCTGGCCCTGGACCAGAAGTTCATGGCCTTACAGGGCAGGGCCATCTGTCATTTCCCTGGAAGAGACACCAGCAATCATGGAGCGGGGGGGATGGCCATGCCACAATCCCTTCTCCTCCATTCTCCTCTCGGGATCTTGGGCACGCACGCACACGCGCCCGGTGTGAGTTTAAGCCACCGGGTCTGGGACTCGAACTGCGGTCAACTACGTGGGAGTCCAGCAACGTAACCACGATGCATCTGCTGTTTCCCGTAGCATGTATTCTTTAAGTGGAATAACAGGAAGAACTCACTGTTGTCTGTCTGGGGGAGAGATGGGTCCCAACTTCACAGCCAGGGAAACTGAAGCAAGAGATCCAGGTCTCCCCTGAGGTTGAGGACCCCGAGCTGGGCCCCTGCCTGCTTCCCCAAGGCCAGCTGTTTCCACCCGGCTGCCCACGACCCTCCCTCCACCCGGCTGCCGGGCTTTGTCCTGACGAGACCTCATCCCAGGGGCTGGCATCGCAAGACTTAGGTGAGGGGGGCAGTCCCCAGGCTTCAGCTTTCATAATCCTGGGTTCCCCTGACACCACCTCCTGGCCCTCCATGCCCAGCCCGTCTCAAATGGGGCAACGTCGGGTGGTCCATTTCCAGATGAGAAAACTGAGGTTTAGCAGAGAAGTCCCTGCCCAGGGATGGAGTATCTGCAGCTGAGAGATTCAAGATGTTTCCTTGAACTGTTTGAGTGGGTTTTTTCAGTTTTTTTTGCCTTAGGGGGCTTGCACTCTCCAGAGACAGAGACAGTGAGAGAGAAAGTGCGAAATCACGCTCCCCCCCAGGGGGAGGGGATGGCCATGCCATAGTCCCTTCTCCTCCATTCTCCTCCTGGGATCTTGGACACGCACGCACATGCTCCCGGCATGACTTTCAATCCACCGGGTCTAGGACTCAAACCGTGGTCGGGCAAGTGGGGAGTTTAACCGCATAACCACTGTGCCATCTGCTGGCCCCGAGTGTGTGTTTTACTCTGTGACCATCTTTGGGCGTCCCTCAGGGACTCAGCTGGGATCCCCCGGAGTCTGTCCCGGGCCTTGGAAAACCCTCATCCCCACAGGGCGCGTGCGCTCGCCAGCCAGAAAGACAGAGAGAGACAGAGAGACAGAAAGCGAGAAATCACCCCCCAGGGGGGATGGCCACGCCGCAATCCCTTCTCCTCCATTCTCCTCTCGGGATCTTGGGCACGCACGCACACGCGCCCGGCGTGAGTTTAAGCCACTGGGTCCGGGACGCGAACCGTGGTCAACTACGTGGGAGTCCAGCGACATAGCCATTACGCCATCTGTTGGTCCTGGTTCTGGGGGTCTTTGAAGAACCAGGGTTTGAAGCTTCCTGCTAGAGGCTGGCCCTGGACCAGAAGTTCATGGCCTTACAGGGCAGGGCCATCTGTCATTTCCCTGGAAGAGACACCAGCAATCATGGAGGCGGAGCCTAGGAAGTATCTTAGGGTCACTTAGAGATTGGGTGGTTTTCCCAGGAGGTGCGGAACCCTAAAGGGGAACAGGAGTTCTTCCTTCCTTCCTTCCTTCCTTCCTTCCTTCCTTCCTTCCTTCCTTCCTTCCTTCCTTCCTTCTGTCAGTCATTGGTATGGTCCTTGTGATACTAAGACCCCACAATGCTGTGACCCCAGAGACAACTGTTAACTTGCCTTGGTTCCTAGTCCCTTAGTCAACTCACAAAGCCCGGCTGTGTCTCTTTCCTCTCTCATCACCCTTGGAACAAAACACCCTGCCCCTTAGCCTAGCTGTGATGAAGCAAAATAAAAACCTTCGAAGCCTCCCTAGCTTTGCATTGCTCTTGCTGCACTCGCTCTCTGCATTCTTCTGGGAACTCCTATTCACCCTTCAAAACCCAGCCCACCATGCCCTTCCTGGTATGATTATCTCCTTTTCCTATTTCTTCATCACCACTCACCCCCCAGCCATTCTTGAATCCCTCTGTTTTTTGGCCATAGGGCATGAGTGCTTTCTGGAGAGAGACAGAGACAGAGAGAGGGAAAGTGAGAAACCACCCCTCTCCCCGAGGGGCAATGGCCACACCACAACCCGTTCTCCTCTATTCTCCTCTCTTGGGCTTTTGGGTATGCACACATGCACATGCACCAAGCGTGATTTTCAACTGCCTGGTCCAGGACTCGAACTAGATTCGGGCTTGTGGGAGTCCAGCGCTTTAACCACACCACCTACTGGTCCCTATTCTTTCCTCTTTGCAGACTCACAGGCTTGCTCAGTCCCTGCACCCTTTCGGGGAGGGCTACCTCCCCAGTCCCAAGGTGGCTTCCCCCAGTGGTTCAGGGACGAGGATGTGGGTGTCACCAGGAACCCTGGCCTCTGTGTGTCCCCAGGTCCAACCGTGACTGCCAGATCGACCAGCACCACCGGAACCAATGCCAGTACTGTCGACTCAAGAAGTGCTTCCGGGTGGGCATGCGGAAGGAGGGTGAGTACCCATGGGTGGTCTGGGCAGGGGTGAACAAACACCCTTGCCCTCCTTGGGTCCAGGATCTCAGGGGGCGCTGTCGTTAGGGGCCTGGCACCTGCTGGTCTCATTATTACCGATTGCTAGATCCCGGGGCTGCAGGGGGCGCTGTAGCTGGGGGCCTGGCACCTGCTGGTCTCATTATTACTGATTGCTAGATCCCTGGGTTGCAGGGGGCACTGTTCTTGGGCTCTGTGACCCCCTGGTCATGGGGACAGAGCTGAGGATGCAAGGACTGCCTCCAGCTGCCTACTTACCCCAGGAAAGTGGGTGCCCAGGTCCCCCCTGGCCTCAGAGACCGCTTCACCAGCTGTCACCTCGGTGACCTTCTCATGCCCTAGCCTGGCCTCCGCTTCTGACTTCGGGAACAAGGATATAGTTTTTTATTTAATTGACTCAAACTCCACCCGGTGTTTGCCCAAGGCAGGAACTCAGGCCGACTAAGGCAAAGGGCAGCTTATCTTCTTCCTGACCTCGGGCCGGGAGGCAGAGGGAGGCCAGCCTCCTGCCTCTGCTGAGGGGACCCGCTCTGCCTCTGGACAGACACATTGGGACAGCTGTGCCCCTGGCTAGGCGCCCTTAGAATTCAAGTGATTTCCAGAAATTTCCCCCAGGGAGTCCTGGGGTTGGAAGCAGAATCTAGCCTGTTAGGGCAGAGCTCTAAGACAGGGCTTCTTGACCTTACCTGGACTGTGTCAGGGACCAGGCTGGCGGTCCTTCCCACCCTCGAACTGGAGTCTCTCCTGCTCCTGACTGGGCCTTTGTGGGAGAAGCTGGGAAAGGTTAATCGGAGTCTTTGTCTTAAAACTGATCGATGTCTAGGACCAGCAGTTAGCGTAATGGCTATGTCACTAGACTCCCATGTAGTCGACAGTGGTTCGAGTCCTGGACCCGGTGGCTTAAACTCACGTCGGGCATGTGTGCGTGCGTGCCCAAGATCCCGAGAGGAGAATGGAGGAGCAGGGATTGCCACGTGGCCATCCCCCCTGGGGGGTGATTTCTCGCTTTCTGTCTCTCTGTCTCTCTCTGTCTGGCAAGCACATGCGCCCTATAGCAAAAAACTCTCCAAAAAAAAAAAAATAATAATAATGTTGCAAAAGTTGGACCAGCAGGTAGCCTGGGGGTTAAGGCCCTGGATATCACATGGCTGACTCCTTAGTTTGAGTCTAGGTCCAGGCAGCTTGAAAATCACACTGGGTGGGACCAGCAGGTGGCGTGGTGGTTAAGGCGCTGGACGCTCCCACATGGCCGACCGGGGTTCGAGTCCTGGACCTGGTGGCTTGCTTTCTCACTTTCTCTCTCTCACTCTCACCCTCTGTCTCTCTCTGATCAAATTAAAAATCAATGAATGAATAAATGTAAAAAATAGTTAAAATAATAATTTTTTTTTTTAAAAAAGAAAATCACACTGGGTATGTGTGCGTGGGTACGCAAAATCACAAAAGGAAGGAGGAGAAGGGATTGTAAGTGATCATCCCCTTGGGATGTAAGAAATCACTTCCCCTCTATCACTCTGTCTCTCTCTCCAGCAAGCACACAGGCCCTGTAGTAAAAACTAAAGACTAGGGGTCAGCAGGTGGCATGGTGGTTAAAGGCGCTGGATTCCCACTATGGCCGATCATGGTTCGAGTCCCGGACCTGGCGGCTTGCTTTCTCCCTTTTTTTCTCTCTCTCTCTGTCCTTCTCTGGTCAAATTGAAATAAACAAATGAATAACTAAATAAATAAAGTTAAATGAAATAATTTTTGGGGGAAAAAAAAAAAATGCTAGATTCCCACATGGCTGGCCGTGGTTCGAATCCTGAACCTGGCGCGCTCTCTCTCTCTCTCTCTCTGCATCTTTCATTTGCCCTATAGCAAATTAAATAAAAATAATAAAAAATAACATTAAATAATTTTTCAAAAATTTATGGGGACCAGCAGGTGGCGTGGTAGTTAAGAAAGTTAAATAAAATAATTCTTTGAAAAAAACTAAAGAGAATGAATGAATAAATAAATGACTCTTTTTCAAGAGTACTTCAAATTAAAATAAATGAATGAATAAATAAAATTATTTAAAAAAAAAAAAAAGAAGTGGGGAACCAACAGATGACGTAACGGCTACGTCACTGGACTCCCAGGTAGTCAACCGCAGTTCGAGTCCCGGACTCGGTGGCTTAAACTCACTCTGGGCGCGTGTGCGTGCATGCCCAAGATCCGGAGAGGAGGATGGAGGAGAAGGGACTGCAGTGTGGCCATCCCCCCCGGGGGGTGGTTTCTTGCTTTCTCTCTCTTCGTCCCTCTCTGGTGAGCACATGCACCCTATAGTCAAAACAAAACCGAACAAAACCAAAAATATGGTGGGGACACTGACGTGCAGAGAACAGCTCCGTGAGGTCATTTGTCTGGATCCGAGAGCAGTGGGGTCATGGCTGGGATTTGAACTCCCATCGTCTGAGCTGAGTAATGAAGGGTTATTCCCAGCTAAGGAAGCGAATTTGAGGAGGGAACAGCCAGTGCCAAGGCCCTGAGATAGGAACACAGCAGGGATGATGTTTACAGCTCAGTGAGCACAGAATGGCGAAGGTGCCCCTGGAAGGCTGGGGGACCACTGTCGGGCTTCACATATCCACACCGATGAGACAGTTGACCCCGAGACTCAGAAGTCCCTGGGAGCAGGCTCGAACCCAGTCTCTGCTTCTCTGCTCAGCCTGCTAGCGGCCTCCCTGTAACCCCCCTCCTGTGTGCCTCCCGCTGGGTTGACCTGGAGTTCAGATGGGGCCTGCCAACTCATTAAACTCAGCAATTAGTGTCTGCCTGGCACCTAGCCCAGCGTGCCCCTCCACCCCGCCCACCCTGGCACTGGCCGCCCCGCATGCTGCCAATTCTCCTCCCTGTGCCTCGATTTCCCTGTTCCTGCCCACCTGGTCCTTGGTCAGCAGTAGGTCCTCCCCGCCTTGGGGCTTTGGGGGACCCGAGGGACAAGACCTGCTCCTGATCTCCTGGGGAGGGGTGGAAAGTAGAGATGGCCCCATCTCCATAGGATCCGGGCTGGACTAGGGTCCCAAATCCTCCCTGACTCCATCCTCAGCAGTGGGCTCCCTGTGATTGACAGATGGGTGTGTGTGATTGACAGATGGCACCTCCATTCCCTCCCCCCCCCTTTCCTAGCAGAGCTCAGCAGTCTAGCGGGAGGGAATCTGGTGGGAACTCCATCAGCCCTCCGCGCAGTAGCTGGGGTGGTGGTCAGACTTGAACTCAGGCTGGGGACACCGCGCTGGGCAGGGTGGGGTGGAGATGGGGGTCCCGGAATGACAGGGCTGGGAGGTGGGGCTTGGAGGGGAGGTGCCGAGTGACCCTCGACTGAATTTTGTCTCTTCTCCCTTTCCTCCCCCTCTCCTCCCACTGTCTCACCGCCCTCTTCCCTCCTCGTCTCTCCAATCCGCTCCCTGTACCCATTCCTGTCTCTAATCTCCCGTCTCTCCCCTCCCTCTTGTCTCTTCCTCATTTCCCGCCCCTGTACCCATTCCTGTCTCTAATCTCCCGTCTCTCCCCTCCCTCTTGTCTCTTCCTCATTTCCCGCGGTGGGGGGCCCTGCCTCTCCGCTGCCCCCT